ATTTGAAGTATTGGCAGGGAATCTACAGGTAACCCTGGAGGTATTGGCAGGAAATCTTTGGGTACCATGGGAAGCATTGGCAGGGAATCTACGGGCACCCCTGGAGGTATTGGCAGGGAATCTATGGGTACCATTGGAAGTACTGGCAGGGAATCTATGGGAACCATTTGAAGTATTGGCAGGGAATCTATGGGTACCCCTGGAGGTACTGGCAGGGAATCTATGAGTACCATTGGAAGTATTGGCAGGGAATCTACAGGTACCCCTGGAGGTATTGGCAGGGAATCTATGGGTACCATTGGAAGCATTGGTAGGGAATCTATGGGCACCCCTGGAGGTATTGGCAGGGAATCTATGGGTACCATTGGGGAAGTAACATTGGTAGGGAATCTGTGGGTATGGGTACCATTGGAAGTACTGGCAGGGAATCTATGGGTACCACTGGAAGCACTGGCAGGGAATCTGTGGGTACCATTGGAAGTATTGGTAAATCTGGAAGTACTGGGGAATCAGGGAATCTATGGGTGGAAGTACCACTGGAAGTACTGGCAGGGAATCTATGGGTACCACTGGAAGTACTGGCAGGGAATCTGTGGGTACCACTGGAAGTACTGGCAGGGAATCTATGGGTACCATTGGAAGTACTGGCAGGGAATCTGTGGGTAACACTGGAAGTACTGGCAGGGAATCTGTGGGTACCACTGGAAGTACTGGCAGGGAATCTATGGGTAATCTATGGGTACCATTGGAAGTACTGGCAGGGACTTGGTAAGTTCCACTGGAAGTCTTGGAAGGGATTGTGGAGGTGTTGTAGGTCTGATGGCTGGTCCTATTTATGCATCAAGAGCGGGACAAAGTTAAACTGCTCCAAGGTCCACATCAGTAGAGGTTCTGTTTCAGTGTAACCTGTGTGTTGGGGTCCCCAGGAATCCCAATAGTAAGAGAGACCCTCCCCCAGCTGTACCCCCAAAGCATCTCCTGCCTATGGGAGCTCCCCGCACCCCACACCCGTACACGAGAACAGACGTTCCTCGGCCTGCCTGTTATGTAAGAAGACTCCTGGCGTTCTTTACATTTTTGCCACCAAGACGCATTTCCTCCCGAAATCCAATAACTTCTTCTGCAGCAGCAAATTTCAGCCAAATTATTCTCTTCCCAGAACACAGTAATTACATTTTAATGCCCATTATCCCTCCTTGTCCCAGACAGATAATGTTCTGTTTCTATTAAAATGATCATATTTTGTCAGCCTGACACGGCGAAAAAAAACTTTGATGTTATATAAAGAAAAACCAAAAACCAAAAACCCGCGTCTGCGGTGGTGGGAGCGGCCGGAGCCGGACCCCCCTGAAGCTGTCAATTGCCGAGTGCGTTACTGTGACCCAGTAATAAACCTTCCCCCGGGGTCACCTCTCTATCCAGCTGTTATATTAAACGCAGCCATCATTTTAATTGGCAGTTTGGGTCGGGTGCCGCTTCCTTCATAATGGATTCCATTCGTCTTCCCTGTAATTGTGTTCTGAAGACGTTACTTTCCTATTATTATTGTTTTTATTATACAGAATGAGCAGCAGCCAACCGGACAGATACGTTCCGGAACGTTCCGCGCCTTCCCGGCGTTTCATTACAAACTTTACAAACGCTTTCTTTTATATCTTTTATTAACAAATATGTTTTTATTAGGAGGCGTCCATGACCCCCCCCCCCCTGTGCAGAGCATGGCGGCGTGTCACACAAGGGTGCCCGCCACTGGCTGCACACGGCAAACCAACACATGAAAATCACACGGCAAACCAACACATGAAAATCACACGGCAAACCAACACATGAAAATCACACGGCAAACCAACGCATGAAAATCACACGGCAAAGCAACACATGAAAATCACACGGCAAACCACACATGAAAATCACACGGCAAAGCCAACACATGAAAATCACACACGGCAAACCAACACATGAAAATCACACGGCAAACCAACGCATGAAAATCACACGGCAAACCAACGCATGAAAATCACACGGCAAACCAACGCATGAAAATCACACGGCAAACCAACACATGAAAATCACACGGCAAACCAACGCATGAAAATCACACGGCAAACCAACGCATGAAAATCACACGGCAAACCAACGCATGAAAATCACACGGCAAACCAACCATGAAAATCACACGGCAAACCAACGCATGAAAATCACACGGCAAACCAAACACGTGAAAATCACACGGCAAACCAACACGTGAAAATCACACGGCAAACCAACACGTGAAAATCACACGGCAAACCAACGCATGAAAATCACACGGCAAACCAACACGTGAAAATCACACGGCAAACCAACACATGAAAATCACACACGGCAAACCAACACATGAAAATCACACGGCAAACCAACATGTGAAAATCACACAGCAAATGCACCAATAAAGGCTTTGTTTACACTGGCAGCCAGGGGGGTGGTAAAAATAAACAGCTAAGTCTCCATTTTACCACTCCGCACCCACCCATCATAACCTAACATGGCAGCCAGAGGGGGCGGTACACATCCTGCGTCTCATGCATGTAGTAGCGGCACGGTGTGGAGGGCTTTCAATGGTTATAATCGGCGTCAGAATTCGAGCTCACTCCATGATCCCCATATTAAAGGGGGACTCCACCCCACAGCTGCATCCACAGTCTATACACATCTGAGCTGTTCTACATTTATATAGTAATATACCCCCCCCCCCCCCCCCCCCCGGGGTGAATGTCTTCATGAGGGTGACTACAGTTCTCATAGTCTTCCATAGTGCTGACTCTGTGCCACTGCTCCGCCTCCTGCCACAGCTCCGCCTCCTGCCACTATTCCGCCTCCTGCCACTATCCTCCTCCTGCCACTGCTTCGCCTCCTGCCACTGCTCCGCCTCCTGCCACTGCTCCGCCTCCTGCCACAGCTCCGCCTCCTGCCACTATTCCGCCTCCTGCCACTGCTCCGCCTCCTGCCACTGCTGCCCGCCTCCTGCCACTATTCCGCCTCCTGCCACTATTCCTCCTCCTGCCACTGCTCCGCCTCCTGCCACTATTCCTCCTCCTGCCACTGCTCCCCTCCTGCCACTATTCCTCCTCCTGCCACTGCTCCCGCCTCCTGCCACTGTTCCGCCTCCTGCCACTGCTCCGCCTCCTGCCACTGCTCCGCCTCCTGCCACTGTTCCGCCTCCTGCCACTGCTCCGCCTCCTACCACTATTCCGCCTCCTGCCACTGCTCCGCCTCCTGCCACTATTCTGCCTCCTGCCTATTCCTCCTCCTGCCACTGCTCCGCCTCCTGCCACTATTCCGCCTCCTGCCACTATTCCTCCTCCTGCCACTATTCCTCCTCCTGCCACTGTTCCGCCTCCTGCCACTGCTCCGCCTCCTGCCACTGTTCCGCCTCCTGCCACTGCTCCGCCTCCTGCCTGCCTATTTCCGCCTCCTGCCACTGCTCCCGCCTCCTGCCACTGCTCCGCCTCCTGCCACTATTCCGCCTCCTGCCACTATTCCTCCTCCTGCCACTGCTCCGCCTCCTGCCACTATTCCTCCTCCTGCCACTGCTCCGCCTCCTGCCACTATTCTGCCTCCTGCCACTATTCCTCCTCCTGCCACTGCTCCGCCTCCTGCCACTATTCCGCCTCCTGCCACTATTCCTCCTCCTGCCACTGCTCCGCCTCCTGCCACTATTCCTCCTCCTGCCACTGCTCCGCCTCCTGCCACTATTCTGCCTCCTGCCACTATTCCTCCTCCTGCCACTGCTCCGCCTCCTGCCACTATTCCGCCTCCTGCCACTATTCCTCCTCCTGCCACTATTCCTCCTCCTGCCACTGTTCCGCCTCCTGCCACTGCTCCGCCTCCTGCCACTGTTCCGCCTCCTGCCACTGCTCCGCCTCCTGCCACTATTCCGCCTCCTGCCACTGCTCCGCCTCCTGCCACTGCTCCGCCTCCTGCCACTATTCCGCCTCCTGCCACTATTCCTCCTCCTGCCACTGCTCCGCCTCCTGCCACTATTCCTCCTCCTGCCACTGCTCCGCCTCCTGCCACTATTCTGCCTCCTGCCACTATTCCTCCTCCTGCCACTGCTCCGCCTCCTGCCACTATTCTGCCTCCTGCCACTATTCCTCCTCCTGCCACTGCTCCGCCTCCTGCCACTATTCCTCCTCCTGCCACTGCTCCGCCTCCCTGCCACTATTCTGCCTCCTGCCACTATTCCTCCTCCTGCCACTGCTCCGCCTCCTGCCACTATTCCGCCTCCTGCCACTATTCCGCCTCCTGCCACTATTTCCCCTCCTGCCACTATTCCGCCTCCTGCCACTGCTTCCTGCCTGCTTTCTGACCTACCAGGGAACACTGCCATTGGATGAAGGATTTCGGGTTGCAGCTGCTGTGCGGCTCCTCACTATTACCCGGCCATTGGATAGATTTCCCAGAACCCCGGCGCCATCTTTGTTCCGGCATCACCCAGGTCACCATCTTGTCCCCGGACTGGGAGAGGAGTCACCATCATGGGACGGGATACAATCAGGAATGAAGGAACGGGTTCGGGTGTGTAATTCGGAACCCTCCCGGGGATGAGTGTGGACGCCGCGTGTCGCCTCCTCGGCTATTAATGTCCTCTCTGCGCGGAGTCGATGGCTCGCGGTGCCGGCCGCCATGAAGAAGGCGCAATCAGTGTAATTACGCAGAACGGGCCGGTCAGCCCCGAGAATGATGTCTGCAAACAGCACACTCCATTAAAGCCGCATTCCCCCCCCCCCCCCCCCCCCCTCCCCCCCCCCCCCCCCCCCCCCCCCCTCCCACCCCCCCCCCCCCCCCCCCCCCCCGCAAGACTGGAGTGGAGGAGCCGGTACACCTGTGCAGGACTGAGGGGGAGGAGCCGATGCACCTGTTCAGGACTGAGGGGGAGGAGCCGATACACCTGTGCAAGACTGAAGGGGAGGAGCACTGTACACCTGTGCAAGACTGAAGGGGAGGAGGAGCCGGTACACCTGTGCAAGACTGAAGGGGAGGAGCCGGTACACCTGTGCAAGACTGAAGGGGAGGAGCCGGTACACCTGTGCAAGACTGGAGGGGAGGAGCCGGTACACCTGTGCAGGACTGAGGGGGAGGAGCCAATACACCTGTGCAAGACTGGAGGGGAGGAGCCGGTACACCTGTGCAAGACTGGAGGGGAGGAGCCAATACACCTGTGCAAGACTGGAGTGGAGGAGGCGGTACACCTGTGCAGGACTGAGGGGGAGGAGCCGATGCACCTGTTCAGGACTGAGGGGAGGAGGCGGAACACCTGTGCAGGACTGAGGGGAGAGGAGTCGGTACACCTGCGCAAGACTGAAGGGGAGGGGCCTGTACACCTGTGCAAGACTGAAGGGGAGGAGCCGGTACACCTGTGCAAGACTGAAGGGGAGGAGCCGGTACACCTGTGCAAGACTGAAGGGGAGGAGCCGGTACACCCTGTGCAAGACTGAAGGGGAGGAGCCGGTACACCTGTGCAAGACTGGAGGGGAGGAGCCGGTACACCTGTGCAGGACTGAGGGGAGGAGCCAATACACCTGTGCAAGACTGGAGGGGAGGAGCCGCGGTACACCTGTGCAAGACTGGAGGGGAGGAGCCAATACACCTGTGCAAGGACTGGAGTGGAGGAGGCGATACACCTGTGCAGGACTGAGGGGGAGGAGCCGATGCACCTGTTCAGGACTGAGGGGGAGGAGCCGATACACCTGTGCAGGACTGAGGGGGAGGAGTCGGTACACCTGCGCAAGACTGAAGGGGAGGGGCCTGTACACCTGTGCAAGACTGAAGGGGAGGAGCCGGTACACCTGTGCAAGACTGAAGGGGAGGAGCCGGTACACCTGTGCAAGACTGAAGGGGAGGAGCCGGTACACCTGTGCAAGATGGAAGGGGAGGAGCCGGAGGGAGGAATGAACAATTAGCGCTGTGAGCAGGATGAGGAGCGCTGGGAAGGACATGATCTATGGGGGGGGGGGGGGGGGGGGGTGGGGGGATATAACATAAATGAACATTTTTCTTCACACTTTTATTTTTAGAATCTTCTGTGATGAGAATTTTGACAATGAAATGTTATTGGTGAGTTCCGCCTCCCTGGTTCTGGAATATTCTGGAGGGGGAGGGGAGGGGGAGATGACAAAACTGCAATTTTAAACATTTTATTGCATTTTTTCCTTTTCTTCTCTTACATTTCCGGACAAATGGATGAATGTTGGGATGGATGGCAGATGGATGGATGGATGAATGGTGGACGAAAGGATGGCGGACGGATGGTGGATGGATAGATGGTGGATGGACGGATGGATGAATGGCGGGATGGATGGATGGATGAATGGCGGACGGATGGATGGATGGATGGTGGACGGATGGATGGATGGTGGACAGACGGATGGCAGATGGATGGTGGATGGATGGCGGACGATGGATGGATGAATGGCGGACGGATGGACGGATGGATGGATGAATGGCGGACGGATGGATGGATGGTGGACAGATGGATGGATGGTGGATGGATGGTGGACGGATGGATGGATGAATGGCGGACGGATGGATGGATGGATGAATGGCGGACGGATGGATGGATGGTGGACAGATGGATGGATGGATGGATGGATGGTGGACGGATGGATGGATGAATGGCGGACGGATGGACGGATGGATGGATGGATGGATGGATGAATGGCGGACGGATGGATGGATGGTGGACAGATGGATGGATGGTGGACGGATGGATGGTGGACAGATGGATGGATGGATGGATGGTGGACGGATGGATGGATGGTGGACGCCCGGCGTGGGGAGCCCCCCGGGGAAGCTGGAAATGGGTCTTCAGTCCTCGGCCCGCCGGCACACTCCTGCACTCAGATTCGGATGGGAAATCTCGCTGAACTGCCTGTTAATGGCTCCATAAAGGCGCAGGGGGCGGGCTGATCTCAGCCGCCTCCATTGTACTCCTGACACATTACGCGGCACAATATCATTTTCCGGGACCCCGATGACCCCCCGCGAGGTGCCCCCCCCCAGCCGCCCGCCATAATGTCTGTTATCTCAGTGGGAGGAAGAAGAGCCAATAACAGTGTTTAGAATCCAGCGATTGGCGCCGCGTCCGCCGTGTCATGGCCGCCTCTGGTGTCTGCGCTCAGCAGGGCGGTATATAGAGGATCGCTCAGCGACTCGCCGGTTGTGTTTTGTGGCCCACGAGCCGCATCTTGGCTGCCCATGGATGAGGATGAAGAGGACAGCGGCAGGATTGGGGGACGGTCTCATGTCTATGGGGTCCCCGATAATCCCAATGGGTAGACATTGACCGACCGTTCATCGATCCCAACCTTCCTGCCTTCCCCCACCATGACCGCCCCCCGACTGGCGTCCTCCATGTACTGCAGAGCTCAGGGAGAAGGAGGGAGAAGCAGCACCAGGGGCCGATGTGTTGTCGAGGCAGGAACAAAGAGAACGTGACAGAGAGGGAGGAGCTCAGCACTGTCCAGTCATAGGGAGGGAAGGAGACCTGTAAGTGAAAGTGAAACTGCAGCGGAAAAAAAATCAAGTCCCCCCCACTCCCAGACAGGCCTCTATCACATGGCAGAGCAGGATAGGCAGAAATAAAAATCAGGTAAAACAGCTTTATTGATGTATATGAGTTGTGGGGATTTTACCGCCCCCCAACTGCCTACCTGAGGCCTACAATACAGCTGGAGGGCATTGTTTACATGCGGAGGGCGTTGTTTACATGCGGTGGGAGTTGTTTACATGCAGAGGGCGTTGTTTACATGCGGTGGGAGTTGTTTACATGCGGAGGGCCTTGTTTACATGCGGAGGGCCTTGTTTACATATGGTGGGCGTTGTTTACATGTGGTGGGAGTTGTTTACATGAGGAGGGCGTTGTTTACATGAGGAGGGCCTTGTTTACATGCGGAGGGCCTTGTTTACACGTGGAGGGCGTTGTTTACATGCGGTGGGATTTGTTTACATGCGGTGGGCCTTGTTTACACGCGGAGGGCCTTGTTTATACGCGGTGGGCGTTGTTTACACGCGGAGGGCGTTGTTTACATGCGGAGAGCGTTGTTTACATGTGGTGTTTACATGTGGAGGGCATTGTTTACATGCGGAGGGCCTTGTTTACATGCGGAGGGCCTTGTTTACATGTGGAGGGCGTTGTTTAAATGTGGTGGGAGTTGTTTACATGCGGAGGGCCTTGTTTACATACGGTGGGCGTTGTTTACATGTGGAGGGTGTGTTGTTTACGTGCGGTGGGAGTTGTTTACATGCGGTGGGATTTGTTTACATGCGGAGGGCCTTGTTTACATGCGGAGGGCCTTGTTTACATGCGGAGGGCCTTGTTTACACGTGGAGGGCGTTGTTTATACGCGGTGGGCCTTGTTTACACGTGGAGGGCGTTGTTTATACGCGGTGGGCCTTGTTTACACGTGGAGGGCGTTGTTTATACGCGGTGGGCCTTGTTTACACGTGGAGGGCGTTGTTTATACGCGGTGGGCCTTGTTTACACGTGGAGGGCGTTGTTTACATGCGGAGAGCGTTATTTACATGTGGTGGGCACGGGACGACTGACCATTTGAGCACTCGGGCACTGCCCGAGGGCCCGGGGCAGTAGGGGGCCCCATGAAATGCCCCTGGAAACTTTTTGATAGGCTTTTTAGGGTGTGCTTTGAGTGTGGGCAATGACACAGGGGCCCCATGATCCCCTATTGCACAGGGGCCCCATGAGTTGTCAGTCCGCCCCCAGGTGGGCGTTGTTTACATGCGGTGGGTGTTGTTTACATGTGGTGGGCGTGATGCATGGAGTGGAGGATGCAGCACATTTAAGGTGATCTGTTGAGCAGAGAGCAGACTGCGCCGCCTGGATCCTCTTCAGTGCAATCTGGAAGCCCGTTCATTGGATGCAAACGCCTGAGACCACACAAAGAGCGACGCAGCAAATCGCACGGAACTACGTGGTCTGGTGGCCAGAAACGCATTGCATTTGCCGTCTGTGATCGGGGTGAAGGTATTGGCACCGCAGCAGATCAAAAGGCAATGCGGTTTGAACACGGTGCGGGAAACGCGCACAGAATACGCCGATCCTGCACCACGTTCCGGTGTGAACCGGCCCCCAAGGAGCAGCAATAATTCTCAATGTATTCTGAAGTATCGGTTTTATTCCCCCTCCCTGAAGAATCTGTCGCAGTTTGCGGTCTCCTCTCATTAATTGGCGCAGTGGGTGGGCGAGGCTGGCGATGACATTACGCCGCGGTATTTTTGGTGACGTCTTTGTGTCTTCGCTGATTTATGACCGTTCCCGGAATCCTCCGGAGCTCCGAATGTTTAGAAATCTCTTCCACTTTGCTGAAATGGTTTCCAGGCAGCTGCTGCGAAGCCTCTTGAGACCCGGCTGTCAGTCTGCGGTTTGTTGTCCTTCCGCTGCGGCACAAACCCGCTTCTGTCCAACTTCCCAGCTTCTGCTGCGGCACAAACCCGGTTCTGTCCGACTTCCCGCCTTCCGCTGCGGCACAAACCCGCTTCTGTCCGCCTTCCCGCCTTCCACTGCGGCACAAACACGCTTCTGGCCAACTTCCCAGCTTCTGCTGCGGCACAAAACCCGGTTCTGTCCGACTTCCCGCCTTCCGCTGCGGCACAAACACGCTTCTGGCCGACTTCCCAGCTTCTGCTGCGGCACAAACCCGCTTCTGTCCGACTTCCCAGCTTCTGCTGCGGCACAAAAGCCGCTTCTGTCTGTCCGACTTCCCGCCTTCCGCTGCGGCGCAAACCCGCTTCTGTCCGACTTCCCAGCTTCTGCTGCGGCACAAAGCCGCTTCTGTCCAACTTCCCAGCTTCTGCTGCGGCACAAACCCGCTTCTGTCCAACAAACTTCCCAGCTTCTGCTGCGGCACAAACCTGCTTCTGTCCAACTTCCCGCCTTCCGCTGCGGCGCAAACCCCAACTTCTGTCCAACTTCCCGCTTTCCGCTGCGGCACAAAGCAGCTTCTGTCCGACTTTCCCAGCTTCCGCTGCGGCACAAACCCGCTTCTGTCCGACTTCCCGCTTTCCGCTGCGGCACAAAGCCGCTTCTGTCCGACTTCCCAGCTTCTGCTGCGGCACAAACCCGCTTCTGTCCGACTTCCCAGCTTCTGCTGCGCGCACAAACCCGCTTCTGTCCGCCTTCCCGCCTTCCGCTGCGGCGCAAACCCGGATGGACAAATGAATGGAGAAAAGGATGCATGGATGGAGACATGGATGGATGGATGGATGGAGACATGAATGGATGGATGGAGACATGGTTGGATGGAGACATGGATGGATGGATGGATGAATGGAGAAAAGGATGCATGGATGGAGACATGGACGGATGGATGGAGACATAAATGGATGGATGGATGGAGACATGGTTGGATGGAGACATGGATGGATGGATGGAAACATGGATGGAGAAATGGCTGGATGAATGGAGACATGGATGGATGGTTGCATGGAGACATGGATGGATGGAGACATGGGATGGATGGATGGAGATATGGATGGATGGATAGAGATATGGATGGAGACATGGATGGATGGATGGATGGATGACA